ACCCAGTTTCTTTTTTTACTACCCACCAATGTTCGATGAACAGCAAATGGGGGGGCCAATAGTCACGGCGACCTGATGTTCAGTGATGGAAATCAGCAACCTGATCCCAGTGACTTGGAGTGATGAACCACATAAGTCCCCGCTAGGTCAGAAAGACGAACATAGCTCATTACACCGAACTCTTATCTGCGTTCACCGAATCCACACGATTGTTGCTTTATCACTATATATCCATCACCGACACTATTTGTAAAAGCTAGAGAATGAGCCATTTTTGAACTTGTGTTTTCATGACAGAATATATTGATGAATGATCTTACTTGGTCATGTTCGTCGTCCGAGTCTCCAAGAAGGATAGCATCATCCTGTGTTTGACCACCCCGTTCACTGTTCCATTTCGAACCAAAGAGGTTGGCTGATGCAGAAGCCCCGCCGGCAGATGGTGCGCTCCTGTCTATTAGGGATTTCTGAGTGGTACCAGATGGGCTCTGCGACTCAAAATCCTCAGAATGAGCATCTGTCTCGCGTGGAAACTTCACTTCGGAGTTGGATTCTTCGTCAGGAGAAACGTGGCCATCCAGTCCAAGTTCGGATGAGTCTTTTCTTTTTTTCGAAGGAATGTCAACTGCCTCAGCGTCAGAACTGGCAAGGGAACCCTCGCCATCTCCGGAAACTGCGGATAAACAGCTATCAACATTTGAAACACCATCTGTGATTAGAGAAGAGATTAAATTCGGTATCAATCAATTTGGAGAGCATTGCAAAGATAAATATTGCCTTGTTTCTGAAAGGCGGTCATGGCCACCGTAAAACGGAGTGTTGAGATGCAATAAACTGTAGGAACCCGGGTCAATACTTTACTGTACAACCCCAGATTTCTTCTGAACACTGAGCCAGCTGCTTATTAACCGCTGCACACCAGCAAAACACTACCATCAGTCATTGCTCCATCATCCGCGAATCTGGAATCATTGTTAACAATATTTCATTTCGAATAACCTAGTAATCTTTTCGAAGGTGTACTTTTGCTGAATGATATTGTTGAAAGGAATTTCATTGAAAATATTAAGATTTAATCGGGGTTTCCTGAGAACTATTATATGGAATGTTTTGAAATATATATAACTTTGGCAGACAACGTGATATCAAGAGGTCTCATCCACTTTTTTCAACTAAAAGACCAAAACCAGAATGCGTACCATTAAGAAGGAATTCGATGTTGGAAAACTTTGTTTGATCAACTCCCTCTTTGGCCAACATGCGTTTCCTTCTCTCCATTTCGGCCTGTTGTGCTGCCTTCGCATCTTCACTAAGAGCATTCTCGCGGACTTTTCTGCAGGACAAATGCAACTTCAAAAGGCTACATACTTGATGTTCCGCCTTTCAAACGTTTGTTTTCTTTTGCTTTTACGCGACCCATTTCTGTCTTCACTAGAGGGTTTATGATCATTCTGTCCTTCATTGTCAGACAGCACTAATTCACCATCCTCAAAACGAAATTGGTTGCCCGCTAAAAGCTAATAAATTGTAACTAACAGACATACCTTCATCACAAACTTCGCTAGACATCACACGGAAATAAAACGACTTTTAGTTGCTGATCGTTAAATAACTGTTATAAATTCAGGTCGTATACCAGTGGAACTCGGTCATAGCAACCCTTTAGGAAAATTCCCAGGTTGGTAGATAGTAATTTCGACGATGAATAAAAACAGCCTTTAGGAATCCAACGATTAAAACAAGAAGAGCGTGTTGAATCTCGCGCGCTACAATCATCGATTGACTGCCTTGTATGTCAGTCAAAAAACATATTTAGTTCTTTCTATTATGACCTATTCCGTTAAAAAAGGGCCATAGTCTTCTTTGCTTGATATGAGTTTATTTCACTCCGTGGGTAGTTTCTACCTGCGCTCTGTCTCATTAGTTCAGTTCAGTTCGGTGCCCAGGACGGTGACGGCAGCTAGTACAGGTTGTACAGTTTCTTGCACTGGTGAGCTCCAAGGATCTCCCGGTGCTGTTACAATAGGATTTAAAGGTTCATCATCAGTGGTATACATGTAGAGGGGTGACTGGGAGAGGACTCCCAGCCACAGCACCCCACTCCGTGGGTGTTTGCGCAGTGGTGCGTTGCTCATTGGCCTCTCGGATGGAAGACTCAGACCAAGAACCTTGAAGCCCGTAAGGATAAAAGATTCTAAGTCAAGAAGGACAATTTGAGGTTTTATTAGAGAGGTGCAGAGAAGAAGTGGAAGTGGAGGGGGGTAAGAGGATGGGATAACGAGAGGAGGGGAGGGAGACGGGCTTCAGGCGCTTGACACTGATGATGAACAAGCTACCCCATAAGTTATCCAAACAGTCTTTGAATTCTGCTACTGAGGGGGCTGCTGTGGCTTCCCATGGCAG